GGTCGCGCGTGCCCTGGAAGTTGGCGACGAAGTGGTCGCGCATCTCGTTCCAGGAAGAGATGGAGCCTGGAGGCAGGTTCAGGAGCCACGAGCGTGCGCCATCCTTGAGAGCCATGTGGAACCAGTTCGTCGTGACTTTCTCGTCGCCGTTGACCGCCTCAATGCTTAGCTCGTAGAGCTGCAAGAACTCTGCGGGGTCGGGGGTGCCGTCGTAGCGAGGAGGCAGATCCGGCTTGAACTTGCCCGGCCAGGCGACGCTACGCAGCTCGGGGGTGAAGGCGCGGCAGCCGGCCGTAGTCACCGGGGCCTGCCGTGGAGGTGGAGCCTGGTCTTGGCGCCCGTGCACTACCACGACAAGCAGCACATGGCCCTGCCGCGGCAAGCGATCCTAACGCGGCGGTGCGGGGAGCGGTGGAGCGTTCTCTTGCGGTCGAGGAACTTCTTGACAACTTCTTTCTTCACGCACGGGCACTTGGCGCGGCGGTCGCGCCGCGGAGCCGCGCGCCTTGGCGCCAGGGCACCGTCTTGGTGCAGGGGTGGTGGAGGTGTTGCGTGAGTTACGTCGCCCGTAGCTGGCGGTGGACGAGGCAGCGAGAGGGGCGATGTAGGGGAGCCCCCTGCGGTGCTGACGAGTTCGACGATGCGGTCCAGTCAGTCCTCGTAGAGATCGTCGATTGGGCGGTAACGCAGGAGCTCGCGCGCCATGAGTAGCGCGGCACGTGCGTCCATGGGAGTGTGACGAGCGTGAGACGAGGAACCGGCGGGGGTCAGCGATGGAGTGGCAGTGCGGTCGTCCCGTCGCACTGAGGGGTGCAACGAGGATGCTTGCTGCTCGTTCCCCGCTGGACCGGTGGCGGCGTTGGCGGCGGGTGACGGAGAACGACGGGGAGGCCCGCAGACAGGAGCCGTCTGGGCGACGCGGGCGGAGAGGGCGGCCCGGCGCTCAGCTCGGGCGCGACGAGCTTCCCACATGGTTGCGACGAAGCGGTGGAACGCGGAGTGACGGAAGGAAAGCTTCGGCGCACCCCTACCTGGCGCGCCAAATGTCGAATTTCAGGTTCCGGCAAAACCCTTAAGGTTTGAACATTGGGGTGCGCGCGAAGATCTCTCCCTCACTGATCACGTCCTCAAACACTTCACGATCTCTAGGCTAGGCACACTAACTCACAACACACGAAACACGAGATTTATACTGGTTCGGGCCACCGTTGCGGTGTAATACCCTACTCCAGTGTGGTGGTGGTGGATTGTCTCTTGGGCTGAGGATGAACAGTACAAGGGGAAGAACAGCCTCCTGAGATGAGGTGTTCTTATACTTTGGTGAACTTGTGGTTGTGAGGATGGGTTGGATCTAGTCCAAATTAAGATGGTTGAGGCTCTCCCTACCTACTGTGGTGGCTAATCCTATTTATAGAGGTCCTGATCCTTTTCCCAAATATTGAGCGGGAAGGGATGCCACAATGGTAAATTTGAAAGGGGACAGCTAGTACAGCTTATCCTGTCAAAAGTAGTCTTCGCCTGCCAAAGGCTCTGGTGGTGACGTCGTCTTGGGCTCCACGGTGACCTCCGTCTTGTCGTCCTGCTGGTCTTGGTCTCATTGCACCGATATGAAATCTTTACCTGATGTCTCAGAACTCTTCGTCTGCATTTGTCTCCTTAACACCAAAGTGGAAATAAGAACACTGTGCACGCTGGCGCCCGCCTGGCACCCGCCTGGCCGTGGTCGTCATGGCTCACGTCACTGGAACCTCGCGAGGTTTGCCTCGCCTTGATCTCTTCGTCCCTTGCGAGCCAGCCTGGTAAGGTCGCTTCCGAGGAGGTCTTGTGTCGTCCCTCTCGCGAGGGTCTTGTATGCTTGTTGGTGAAGATGGGCCGTATGAACCCGCTCGTAGAGCCACGCTGTGGGTCACAGGCAGGCAAGTCTGGGGACTCGGTTCCTAGAACATCGACAGACACCCGCTTTTCTGTACGATACACTGTGTATGTACAATGACAGGCGGATTATCCGGCCAAATTAATGCTAACAGAATCTAAAGCTCCACGCGCTATCGCACAACTACCTGATTAAATTGGTTGTTTGTGTCCCTAATTAACCGTAGCCTCTTTTTTCTGTGTGAGACTCGCTCCACGCATGGCATGCATATGCCGGTACTGCCTCCGTAATCCAAAGCAGCCTCACCTATTTTGATTGCGGCGATATGTTTCCTAATTGCGTTTTCAGTGCCGTGGATTTTAGTCCCGCTGAACTTATAATTCCTTGGCTATTGATTGCGTCTCTCTTTTAGCAGTTTTCCTATTTTGCGGGTACTCTTTTAGCAGCTTAACATTAACATTAAACTAGGATCAAATCAAGCACTAACACATATGCCATACGTAAACTCTGTTGCTCCAAACCAAACAGAAGTCCAACAACTTTATCAAAATTTTGGCATGTACAATGGCTATAAACCAAACAACACTATCTTATCAAAATTTTGGTCATACCCTTGCTTTGGTCATGCCAATATTTTAGTGGGGCTAGCTAGGGCTCAAACCAAACACACCCAGACGTCCAGTAAGGACACAAAAGGCAGAGAGACTGGCCTAAGGGACGGCCGGAGCACTGAGGAGGATGCCGAGATCGGAGTGGTCGCTTGCGAGGGGGGTGGCCGCGTTGCCGCTGTAATCGAAGTGGTGGGCAGCGGACACTCTAGCTCTCAACAAGGCATTATGCCCTCTCTACCATAAACAAGTTTTTTCTAGTTCTCATTATCTATATTCGAAAATGCTGGACTTACATACAGATTAATTCCTACGTATTGAAGTCACGTCCTGACAAGTCCTGTTTTTACTCGTCTAATTAACCGAGCCTCCTAATTAACCCCCCTCGCCCCGAATTCAATAGGGTGTCCCGACAGCCAGTACATAAGATTTTCATAAGTTGCCCGTAGGTGTAGCATTGCTCATCTATATTTTATGCACTTCAATGTCTAGAGGGTTCTAGTACATGTTTTAGCTACGAAGTGTGTCGATTATAGCTATGTATGTCAATCCCCTAGCTATTCAAAGAATAAAATTTATTAAAAAAATACTCTCTTCATTTTTGCATACAAGACTATTTTATTTTTCATATCAAACTTTGACTTGTAATTTTTCTCAATGAATATGGGTTATATTTCATAAAAATTACTCTCTCAGTCCCATAATATAAAAGAGTGTCAAAAACGTTATTATTATATTAAGGAACGGAGAGAGTACATCATTAGAAAGTTCTTTGAAGTGCGCATCCAATAACATATTTCTTGTGACATATAACCTACGTTTTGTTGATAAAATTAATGATATGAAGTGACCTTATTATATGAAAACAAAGAGAGTAAAATAGACAAATACCAGACAAACAGATACACTCCTTAGGTGCCATGTTCAATTACCGGTCATATTACAATCAACTTTGCAAAGGTCTACTGCCTCTGGCGGTCCTAAGCCCAACCAAACCACATTTCTTTTCTCCGTTCTAGCAAAGTTTGTCAAAAAATCACTACAACATTTTGGCAACGGTTAACATGAGCGATACAAGTACGGAGGGAAAACAAGTATTTAATCTCTGCTACTAGAAAGCAAGCACTGCCTATTCACATCTTCATTCTTGAGAATGTTCACCACAGAGACTTAGTCTACCTCCAGCAAATTAGAAAGTTGAATTGCTAAGGCTCCATACATTTTGGCAACTCAGCCTCCATTGCATCTCTGCAAGAAAAAAGTTCCTTGCACGATGAATAACTTATGTTGCCTGTGTTGTCACGAAGGAGCATTCCAGCTCCAACACCATCATTCGACGACCCAGATCCATCAGTATTTAACTTTATCCACCCTTCAGGAGGAGCAGCCCACTTGCGAGTCTGGTCAAAAAATGTGCTTCTCCGCCATGTCCACTTGCTAATGATGCTCGATCAGATCGTCTTCCACTAGCTTTTTTTGTTGTTACAACTTTAAGGCCTCCTTTGGTTTGAAGGAATTTCATAAAAAAATTAGAGGATAGGATTCTTATAGGATTTTTTCCTTTAGAGCCCTTTGGTTCATAGGAATAGATTCTTATTCCTACATAGGATTGGTTCCTATCCTCCACATTTCATAGGAAAATAAAAATAAGCCTAGACTCAATGAAAAAATTCCTTTGATGTCAACCAAATGACATCTCGTTTCTTATTCCTACTCATAGAATTTGAGATGCATGTCATATCATTTCCTATAAAATTTCTATTTCTACGATAATCCTATCCTATGAACCAAAAGAGGCCTAAATAGACTTGGTTATCATATTATTATTAGTAGCCTCGGTTATCATATTAATTGCATTATTGGGGTTAGTATACAATTACCTTTTTTCTTTCTTTTCTGTCATATTCTCCCCTTTGACCATTGTTCAAGGTTTTTACCATATTCATGTAGCCATCTTGGCAACTTAGTAATGCCACTTCACTTCCTTGACCTTCCTTGAGGGTTTTCACCCTATTCTTGTGGCTAAGCTGAATTCATCCAAAAAAACACGCAAACAATTATATAATATTTCAACGTGAGCTCCCGGATGTTTCGTGTCCCAGACACCGCTTTGACCTGAACACCTCGTTCACTCGCCATGCCTCTCCTTCTATGCTCCCGTCGAGCTCCGCCAAGAGATGGACAAGCCGTGAAATTCTTATCGATTCCATGACGTCGAGATTCATTGCAAGACACGTTTTTTGGAAGAAAAAAAAATAGCAGCGCGATCACCATCGGAGAAAAGTTCCATTCTACTCCCTCCGTAACTAAATATAAGGCATTTTTTATGCCCTATACTAAATAAAAAAAACATGTTACAATTTGATACAAATGTAGTGTTTTTTAACACGGTATAAACGCAGATGTTTACTGCACACACACCTACATTATCACACGCACAGAAGGAGCGTTCCGCGAACAGCCCGAATGGGCAGCACAAGTTGCCAACCCTCGTTTTCACCCATGAAGTCAATCCTCAAATGATGATTTACACTCGTTCCAACCATCGATTATTCAAAGACTCGTTTTCACCAAGGATGTCTGTCCCGCGTCCCATTGACCAACCCACGCACCGTCCTCACCTCAACAGCTCTCGCCTCGCCATGCCTCTCCCGGTCCTGCTCGCCCTGCTCTGCGCCCTACACGCCCCCGCGAGCTCCGCGTCCACGGCGACCTACTCCCTCTCGCCAGGCCAGTCGCTCGCCGGCGACGACAAGCTCGTCTCCGGCGGCGGCAAGTTCGCGCTCGGCTTCATCCAGATCCCAGGCAGCGACAGCAACCCCTCCGGCTCCGGCGGCAACAGCACTCAGCTGGGCATATGGTTCAGCCTCAACCGTGTTCCCAAGCTGACACTGGTGTGGGTGGCCAACAGGGGAGGCAGCCCGGTGGCCGGCGCCGCGTCCCCGGAGCTCACGATCTCCGGCGACGGCAACCTCGTCATCGTGGACCGCGGCAAAGTCGCCTGGTCCACCCGAGCCGACGTCACAGCCAACAACAACAACAACAACAGGGCGGTCCTCCTTCTCCTGGACACCGGGAACCTCGTGCTGCGCAGCGCCTCCAACGCCTCCGACGTGATGTGGCAGAGCTTCGACCACCCCACGGACACTCTGCTCCCCGGCGCCACCATCGGGCTGGACAAGGTCACCGGCCGGAGCCGCCGCCTCGTCTCCAGGAAGAACCGGATCGACCAGGCTCCGGGCGCCTACTCCATGGAGCTGGGCCGGAGCGGCGTCGTCCAGATGCTGTGGGACGCGTCCGTGCCCTACTGGTCCAGCGGGGAGTGGAACGGCGACTACTTCAGCTCGGTGCCGGAGATGACCGCCCGCCACCTGATAGGCTCCACCTTCGTCAACGACGACCGGGAGGTGTCCTTCGCCTACCACCTGCTCGACGAAACCATCACCATGTACAGCTTCCTGGACGTGTCCGGGCAGAGGAAGATGCTGGTCTGGCAGGATGCCACGCGGGACTGGGTGACGGTCTACGTCCACCCCACCACCCAGTGCGAGGTGCACGCCGTCTGCGGGCCATTCACGGCCTGCGACGAGAGCGCGCCGGCGCCGTGCAGCTGCATGAAGGGGTTCTCCGTGGGTTCGCCTGAGGATTGGGACCTTGACGATCGGAGCACGAGCGGTTGCAGAAGGAACACTCAGCTGAATTGTGCTAGCATTAGCAACGGCACCATGGTTGGCATGGCTGACATGTTCTACGCCATGCCGGCCGTCAGGTTACCCTATAACCCCCACGGCGCCGCGGGATATGTCGCCAGCGCAGCCGAATGCGAGCAGGTCTGTCTGAGCAACTGCTCTTGCACTGCATATTCCTTTGGCAGTGGTGGCTGTTCTATGTGGCATGGTGGATTGCTGAACGTAAAACAACGCCAGATTGATGGTGCTTCTTCCAGCGGTGATGGCGAAATTCTTCACATCCGCCTCGCGGCGAAAGAGTTCCGGACCCGGAAAAACAACAGTGTAGTTATCATTTTGGTTGCCATTGGTGCAGGCCTCAACGCTTTGGTTATCTTGGTACTCGTCGTAGCGCTACGCAGGACCAGGAGGAACAAAAGGTACAGTGAAACATTGGACAAAATCCATGGTGGCAGTGGGCTTGTTTCATTCAGATACAGCGATTTGCGGCGTGCAACTAGAGATTTCTCAGAGAAGATTGGGGCAGGTGGTTTTGGTTCTGTGTTCAAGGGGTCGCTAAATGATTCGACCACTATAGCGGTGAAAAGGCTTTACGGTTGTTATCAACAAGAGAAGCAGTTCAGGGCTGAGGTGAGTTCAATTGGAATCCTCCACCATACAAATTTAGTCAAAATGGTTGGTTTCTGTTGTGAGGGCGACAAGAAGCTTCTTGTCTACGAACACATGCCAAACAGTTCCCTTGATGCCCATCTGTTCAGGAGCAGTGCCAAAGCTCTGAATTGGAGAACCAGATACCAGATAGCTCTTGGAGTTGCCAGGGGGCTGGCATACTTGCACGAGAGCTGCCTGGACTACATCATACACTGCGACATAAAGCCGCAAAACATACTTCTCGACGCGTTGTTCGTTCCTAAGATCGCCGACTTCGGGATGGCAAAGCTTCTCACAAGGGATTTTAGCCGGGTCATGACCACAACCAGGGGCACAATTGGGTACCTTGCCCCTGAATGGATCAGTGGAGTGGCCATCACGCCCAAAGTCGATGTGTATGGATATGGGATGGTGCTACTGGAGATCATATCCGGGAGGATGAACGCGAACGAAGAATGCGGCAGCAGTGGTGATGGCATTGTTTATTTCCCCATCCAGATGGCGCGCAAGCTTCTCGAGGGAAACGTCATGAGCTTCGTGGATGATAGGTTAAACGGTGATGTCATCGTCGACGAGGTTGGAAGGGCTTGCAAGGTTGCCTGTTGGTGCATTCAGGACAGGGAGTTTGAACGGCCAACGATGGGCAAGGTAGTCCAGATTCTTGAGGGTCTTGTTGAAGTTGACACCCCTCCGATGCCTAAGCTACTCGAAGCTATCGCCGGAAGATCACACTCAGCATGCACCTAGCCTGGTAACCATTTTTTCTTCTTCTTTAAACTGAACTCGCCGAACCCATTTATTTACTCTAGCACCTAACCTGCTATAGACATGGTTTGAAATGATACAAAATGCAAGTACAATTATTTGAGAACCTTTTGTTATAAGGGAATTTGAGAATTTTGATAGCAATTAGCAATGAATGCTTGCGATACCATTCTCACAACTATCTCACACATGGCAGAGTAGAACTTGTCTGTTGAGCTTGCACTTGTGTTGCTACTACAGTCTAGTCTAATGGAGCGTTTCTCAAGCACCCACTGGTTCAATCATGTAGCTCCCAATCCTCTGGTGATCTCATGGTGAAGCCCTTCATACAATTTCAAGATGGCAGCATATTATAGCATCATATGCATTGGGTTGGGCCAAGGCAAACATTAGTACCCACTTCTGTGAGCTTTCTATCCACATATATGCCCATGTATCATCACAGTTGTGTCCGACAGTGGCATAAACCATCATTTTCATAAAAGTTTGCCGAAGACACCGATTTTCACTGACCGTGTTGTCGAAAGCACTAACCGATCAATTGACCGTATTTTGACAGCGAACCTGACATCCTGGCTCCACCAGTCAGGGCCACATGGCAAGTGGGAGACGGCGACCACGGACGGCCGTTAGCGTGGCTTGCATTCACCTGGTCTAACATATATGTCCATGTACCAGTCTCAAAGAAGCCAAGCGTCGTGCCTGTCGTTCCGGAAGCCGAGCTTGTCGCCGCTGCCAAGTGGTTGGCGAGCTGACATGGTGTCCGTCGCAGCAGAGCTTGTCACAACGATGTGTAGGTGGAAGATCACGGTGAAAACAAAGATGGGTAAAAGATGTGTAGCTATTCAAGTACAACCATCAAATTAACTAGTGGAGGGAAAATATGTTCCAATGGCGATCTAAGACCGGATGTTAGGCTTAACTTAGTGATGAGCTGCACGACCAATGGGCATTACAACGACCGACGTCGTCTCGTCTTCCTAGAATATAGTACTACTGTTCATGAACCTAAAATAATTTTTGTTTGACAGTTTCCTGAATGAACCTAAAATAAGTTGACAGTGGGGCACGGCGCAAGAACTCAAGTGATCTGCTGGCGCAACACCAAAACAGCAGAGACACCACCAGATTGATGTAGAGTTTATTACGTACTTCCCTGAATTTAACAAACTGAAAATGGGCAAGTTTTGAGACTAACGGAGGGAGGCTATTGATTGTCTTTTGAGTGGACATGTTACTACTATCAGTTGATGAATTTTTTTTAAAAAAAGAGGTAAAAATATTGTATTTTTTCAATAATTTTAAAAAATGTTTAAAAATCCATTTTTTTTATGTATCTTGTAATGTAAGGGACTTTAAAAATCATGAATTAAAAAATTATCCCAAATTTTAAAAAATGTTGCAGAGTTTTAAAATCTGTTTAGTGAATTACGAAATGATCATGAATTTTTAAAAATCAAAATTTTAATGAATTTCGAAAAATGTTTCCAAATTTCAAAAAATATTCACCAACTGTAAAAACGATGAGATTTAATAATGTTAGCTATTTTGAAATATGTTCACTATTTAATATATGTCCATGATTTTTTAGAAATTTTATGAATTTCAGAAAATGTTCATGAATTTGATTTTTTTTAAAAGGTTCATGTTTTGTTATCTTTTCTCAAATGTAATTGTATTAAAAAATAATTAAAAATAAAATACCGATAAAACAAGTAAAAAGAAACACAACAAAACAAGAAAAAAGATGTAGGCCCTAGTGCCTTCACGAAACAGGTGGTAACAAACAACACAAAAGCCCAAACTAGGCCAGCCCATTAACATGCAGGGTGCGCGTTTGGTTGCTATCTGGCTCGAATTAGGATCCGGCACCGTGAAACAGGCCCGTGCATGGGCCGAGGATCCCAAAGGAGGATAAAGAGCCCGAGCTGATGATGCTTTGATCACCCATTTTACGTCGAGGCTCGCGGAAAGATGAAGTTTAGCATGCACCTAACAAGTCTATTCTTTATCCAAAATAATAATTTTCTTCTATTTTCTCGCCAATTTTTTAGAACAAACAGTTTTCTTCTATTTTTCTTTTTTAAAACCAAGCTCACTTGACCATTTTGGTACCCTGTGAATCAGACAACATGTTTGATTCGAGCACTTTGAAATTTTTCATTGACATGACCGCCCCTGTTGTGTTTCTGATTTCTAAGGCCATGTTTTTTTCAGTTTTGATTGGATTCGAATCATCTGTGGATTCACTTCACTGGCAAAGCTGATTTTGCGGCATGCGGAATCAGTTTTACAACTGAAGTACACTTTGAGGTGCTTCAGGCAATTGCACTGAAAATGGCTCAAATCCAGGTTTAGCTTCACCGGCAAAGCTGATTCAAACTAGTTGTTTTGTTTCAACGTCACTGATAAAGCAGAATCTCATCCCTGGTTCTCAAACGAAATAGTTGTTTGTTTCAGATTTCATATTCAACTTCACTAGCAAAGTTGAATCTGCCCTGGAGCTCAAACGAAATAGTAATCGCAATCGCAGCCGAGCATGTGTCAACTGCCAGCCATTACTTAGTTAGAAAGCTTTGCTCACCCACAATACACAACTCTCGTCGATCAAAACTCACCCAAGAGCAATTCGACGCTTGGATTGACAAATGAATATGTACCAAAAGAATACAGCCAAAATTCTTGTTATATCTTTTTATTTCTCTATTTATTTACCTTTTTCCTTATTATTTTCTTCTTTTCGTCTTTCCTTTTATTACTCTACCACATGAATATTATTTAACGAGCAAAAAAAGACCAGCTAAGCATTATTAGCTTGAGCAGTCTTTACCTCATCTAACAACGCTTTGAGCTTTCTTCGGGATTTGGCACAAAGGCTTGTTTTGAGAAACATGAACAATTAAAAAATGTGAACACCTTTTTAAAGATACATGAACAATTTTTACATATAATAATATAAAAAAATATTCATGAACATGTTGTTTTTGTATATGCGAACATTTTTTAAAACATGAGCATCTCTTTGAGAAGTAACGAAAAATATATTTTCAAATAGAAAAGCATTTTCTAAGTTACATGAACATTTATTTTCATATGCGTGAACTTTTTTTATTGCAATGAATGAACACTTCATTTCCACATACACAAACATTTTAAAGGAAAATACATAAAAAATTAAAATCACATTAACATGTTGTATGTCCGAGGATTTTTTATTTTTTGCAACACGTGAACATTTTTTCACTTACTGTTTTTAAACTGGCTACATAAAACTGTCCTTAGAGATGTGGACAGCATCCAAGAATTGTGTATGAGGTGCGCAACCTGCAGGCTATATCAAGCGTCAAAATCAAATGATGACTTCGAGGAACAGTTGGTAAGCTTTGCTCAGCAACAAGCCAGTCAAACCTAACGCAAGAGCAGTTGGACACTTGGACTGCTGACAAATGTATCTGCACCAACAGTATACAGCCAAAATTGCTTAATTTACGCCTATTGTAGCAATCAGCAGGCCGGCAAAGTATTGTTGTTTGTCTGAGAAAGACAAGAATGGATATTTTTTTGGTTGTCGATGTAGAGTTGTAGACATAGGAGTACTATCTCACATGCATTCTACAAACATGGCTAAATTAACAAGACTGTTTCAGCTTGACCAAGAGTATAACACCCAGACCATCGTTGCCGTGATGTGGATGTTTTGCACTTGATTGCTAAATTAAACCTGAAGCAGATCTTCAATCACCGCATACTGACATTTTTTACTCCGCTATCAAGGAAAATAGTTGCGACATGTATCCATCCCACGCCTTAGATCTGGTGAAGAAAGAGTAGACGTGAGGCGGAGTGTCAAAGTTTTCGACGAAACTGCCAACCCAATAGCTGCAGTTCCTCAGTAAATTAAGCCTGAATCTCACATCTTCACAGCGACATTTTTCACTCCATTGGTTTGGCGGTTGTGCTTGACTGCTGGTTCACCACGCTAAATTATTTCTTGCCATGGCGGCCGAGCAGAGCACCCACCCTACTACTACAGTTGCGGTCTCTGCAACTGCAAGCCACCCCTCCCCCTCTCCCTTGGTTCACCATGCCTCTCCTCCTCTTTGTGTTCACTGTCTTCACCTTACACGCCGCCGCCCCTGCAAATTCTGCCACGACGGACACCATCTCCTCCGCCCAACCACTCGTCGGCGGCGACAAGCTCGTCTCCCAAAATGGCAGGTACGCTCTTGGCTTCTTCGAGACCGGCAGCGAGTCCAACTGGTACATGGGCATATGGTTCAACACAGTCCCCAAGCTTACTCCAGCGTGGGTCGCAAACAGGGACGACCCAATCAAGAACATCACCTCGCTGGAGCTCACGATCTCCGGGGACGGCAACCTTGTCATCCTGAACCGGTCCAGCAGCTCCATAATCTGGTCTTCTCAAGCAAGAGTCACAACCACCGACACCATTGCTGTTCTCCTGAACACTGGGAATCTCGTCCTGCAGAACAGCTCTTCAGACTCATCAGATGTTTTCTGGCAGAGCTTTGACTACCCCACGGACACATTTTTGCCCGGGGCGAAGCTTGGGTATGACAAGGTCACCGGCCTCAATCGCCGCCTTGTTTCTTGGAAGAACTTGATCGACCCAGCCACTGGAGCATACCATGAGGAGTTAGACCCCAGTGGTCTCAACCAGTTCCTCCTTGCACCACTGAACTCTTCCATGCCATATTGGTACAGCGGCGTCTGGAACGGCCAATACTTTGCCTTGATGCCAGAGATGTCAAAAGGCTATCTTATGAATTTCACATTCGTCGACAACGATCAAGAGAAGTACTTCATGTATACCTTGCATGATGAAACCACGGTTATCCGTAATTATCTGGATGTCTCAGGTCAGGCAAAGACCAATATGTGGCAAGAAAGCTCACAGAATTGGCTGCCGATGTTTGCCCAGCCCAAAGCTCAGTGTGATGTCAATGCAGTCTGTGGACCTT